AAAATTGTTTCTTATAGCGAATTGTATGGATGGAGTATGGATCAAATTGTTAAAGAAGTTGGATTGAAAAACAATTGTAAGTTATTTATAAAACCAAATTATAAATTCTATCAAAATAATTTATACAAACATATTCTTTTTTTAGGTACTTTTTGTGGTGTTTTCAGACGTCAGGCATTAGATCGAGGTGCTGTAATCTTGGATGTAGATCATATAGTGACGGGGCATAATGCTGATGATATTGCTGAAACAGTTTTGATGAATAGTTAGTTACTTTAATATAATCTATATTTTGTTTTTTTTTTATATTACATATATATATATATGTATATATTTTTACGCATTAATTTGTTAAATTTAGTCTTAAGGGGGGATATCGCTCGACTTCCACGATGTACCGAGATATGTACGTCTGGAGATGGATGTATACGAAGATCAAAACCGTTTAAATACACTTACGAAAAAGAAATCGTTATGTATGCATTTTGATTAAATATGATTTCATTTTATTTATGTAATGTGCTTGAAATTATTAAATACTTATAATTTCTAGGTATGCTTATTTTAAGAAGCTCGATTATTTTTCGACTGAGTGTATATACTCACCAAATGCATATCGGGGACATGTACGGACTTTCATAAAAGATTTGGAATCTATACGACCTAGTGCTATTATAGGTAATGTTAATATAGAACTTTCTTAACCCAATTTATTTGATACATCTTTTAACGTTTTTTTCCTATTATAAAGACATCATACATTCTGGGGAAGCCTTTGAAATAAAAAACGGGGTAAAATTGCCTGTACAAGGTGTATGTAAACGATGCGGATATATGTCTAGTAATGAACTTTGTAAAGCATGTATGTTACTAGAAGGTTTGAATCGTGGATTACCAAAGTAAGGTCATGGTTTAAGAGCTATCGCTTTTTTATAAAAAGATTTGATCTTAATGTATATGTCTTTTTTTAACTATAGGCTTGGTATTGGAAAAAATTTTAGATAGAAACAATATAAATCATAAAATCAGAATATCAAGTCAGGTAGGTATAAATGATGAACAGAAAAAGATGGTTAATATCTAAAAAAAGAAATTCAAAAAACTTAAAATCTTAATTTATCTTGTCATAATGAAATCCAACAATTTAATTGTGCTAGATGATTTCTGCCACGAGCTTAACTGTTTTGTTTACAACATTTGCTTTATTCGAATAAATAAAAACA